TAGGTCCCCTGTAAACACAGAACTATGTAGGTCCCCTGTAAATACAGAACTATGTAGGTCCCCTGTAAATACAGAACTGTGTAGGTCCCCTGTAAACACAGAACTATGTAGGTCCCCTGTAAACACAGAACTATGTAGGTCCCCTGTAAATACAGAACTATGTAGGTCCCCTGTAAACACAGAACTATGTAGGTCCCCTGTAAACACAGAACTATGTAGGTCCCCTGTAAACACAGAACTATGTAGGTCCCCTGTAAACACAGAACTATGTAGGTCCCCTGTAAACACAGAACTATGTAGGTCCCCTGTAAACACAGAACTATGTAGGTCCCCTGTAAATACAGAACTATGTAGGTCCCCTGTAAATACAGAACTATGTAGGTCCCCTGTAAATACAGAACTATGTAGGTCCCCTGTAAATACAGAACTATGTAGGTCCCCTGTAAATACAGAACTATGTAGGTCCCCTGTAAATACAGAACTATGTAGGTCCCCTGTAAATACAGAACTATGTAGGTCCCCTGTAAATACAGAACTATGTAGGTCCCCTGTAAATACAGAACTATGTAGGTCCCCTGTAAATACAGAACTATGTAGGTCCCCTGTAAATACAGAACTATGTAGGTCCCCTGTAAATACAGAACTATGTAGGTCCCCTGTAAATACAGAACTATGTAGGTCCCCTGTAAATACAGAACTATGTAGGTCCCCTGTAAATACAGAACTATGTAGGTCCCCTGTAAATACAGAACTATGTAGGTCCCCTGTAAACACAGAACTATGTAGGTCCCCTGTAAACACAGAACTATGTAGGTCCCCTGTAAACACAGAACTATGTAGGTCCCCTGTAAATACAGAACTATGTAGGTCCCCTGAAAACACAGAACTATGTAGGTCCCCTGTAAACACAGAACTATGTAGGTCCCCTGTAAATACAAAACTATGTAGGTCCCTTGAAAATATAGGAACGATCAGGTTACCCTGACAACACATAACTATGTAGTTCCCCTGAATACACAGGAACTATGAAGGTCCCCTGAAAACACAGGAACTATGTAGGTCCCCTAACAACACAGAACTATGTAGTTCCCCTGAAAACACAGGAACTATGTAGGTTCCCTGAAAACACAGGAACTATGTAGGTCCGCTAACAACACAGAACTATGTAGGTCCCCTGAAAACACAGAACTATGTAGGTCCCCTGTAAACACAAAACTATGTTGGTCCTCTGAAAACACAGAACTATGTAGGTCCCCTGTAAACACAGAACTATGTAGGTCCCCTGTAAACACATAACTATGTCGGTCCCCTGAAAACACAGAACTATGTAGGTCCCCTGTAAACGCAGAACTATGAAGTTCCATTGTAAATACAGAACTATGTAGGTCCCCTGAAAACACAGAACTATGTAGGTCTCCTAAAACACAGAACTATATAGGTCCCCTGTAAACAGAGGAACGATGCAGGTTACCCTGACAACACAGAACTATGTAGGTCCCCTGTAAACTCGGGAACTATGTAGGTCCCCTAAAAACACAGGAACTATGAAGGTCCCCTAAAAATACAGGAACAATGTAGGTCCCCTAAAAACACAGGAACTATGTAGGTCCCCTGAAAACACAGAACCTTTGTAGGTCCCCTGTAAACACAGAACTATTTGGGGCACCTGTAAACATAGGAACGATGCAGGTTACCCTGAAAACACAGGAATTATGTAGGTCCCCTGAAAACACAGGAACTATGTAGGTCCACTAAAAGCACAGGAACTATGTAGGTCCCCTGAAAACACAGGAACTATGTAGGGCCCCTGAAAACACAGAACTATGTAGGTCCCCTGTAAACACAGAACTATTTGGGGCACCTGTAAACATAGGAACGATGTAGGTTACCCTGAAAACACAGGAATTATGTAGGTCCCCTGAAAACACAGAACTATGTAGGTCCCCTGTAAACATAGGAACTATAAAGGTTCCCCTGAAAACACAGAACTATGTAGATCCCCTGTAAACACAGAACTATGTAGGTCCCCTTTAAACATAGGAACTATGTAGGTCCCCTGAAAACACAGAACTATGTAGGTCCGCTGAAAACACAGGAACTATGTAGGTCCCCTGAAAACACAGAACTATGTAGGTCCCCTGTAAACACAGAACTATGTCGGTCCCCTGTAAACACAGAACTATGTAGGTTACCCTGACAACACAGAACTATGTAGATCTCCTGTAAACACAGAACTATGTAGGTCCTCTTTAAACATAGGAACTATGTAGGTCCCCTGTAAACCCAGAACTATGTAGGTCTCCTAAAAACACAGAACTATGTAGGTCCCCTGTAAAAAGAGGAACGATGCAGGTTACCCTGACAACACAGAACTATGTGGGTCCCCTGTAAACACAGAAATATGTAGGTCCCCTGAAAACACAGAACTATGTAGGTCCCCTGAAAACACAGGAACTATGTAGGTACCCTGAAAACACAGGAACTATGTAGTTCCCCTGAAAACACAGGAACTATGTAGGTCCCCTGTAGACATAGGAACTATGTAGGTACCCTGTAAACATAGGAACTATGTAGGTCTCCTGAAAACATAGGAACTATGTAGGTACCCTGTAAACATAGGAACTATGTAGGTCCCATGTAAACACAGGAACTATGTAGGTCCCCTGTAAACACAGAACTATGTAGGTCCCCTGAAAACACAGGAACTATGTAGGTCCCCTGTAAACATAGGAACTATGTAGGTCCCCTGAAAACACAGGAACTATGTAGGTCCCCTGAAAACATAAGAACTATGTAGGTCCCCTGAAAACACAGGAACTATGCAGGTCCCTTGAAAACATAGGAACTATGTAGGTCCCCTGTAAACATAGGAACTATGTAGGTCCCCTGAAAACACAGGAACTATGAAGGTCCCCTGAAAACACAGGAACTATGTAGGTCCCCTAACAACACAGAACTATGTAGTTCCCCTGAAAACACAGGAACTATGAAGGTCCCCTGAAAACACAGGAACTATGTAGGTCCGCTAACAACACAGAACTATGTAGGTCCCCTGTAAACATAGGAACGATGCAGGTTACCCTGAAAACACAGGAACTATGTAGGTCCCCTGAAAATACAGAACTATGTTGGTCCCCTGTAAACACAGCACTATGTAGGTCCCCTGTAAACACAGAACTATGTAGGTCCCCTGAAAACACAGAACTATGTAGGTCCCCTGAAAACACAGAACTATGTAGGTCCCCTGTAAACACAGAACTATGTAGGTTTCCTGAAAACACAGAACTATGTGAGTCCCCTGTAAACACAGCACTATGAAGTTCCATTGTAAATACAGAACTATGTAGGTCCCCTGAAAACATAGAACTATGTAGGTCTCCTAAAACACAGAACTATGTAGGTCCCCTGTAAACAGAGGAACGATGCAGGTTACCCTGACAACACAGAACTATGTGGGTCCCCTGTAAACTCAGGAACGATTTAGGTCCCCTGTAAACACAGAACTATGTAGGTGTCCTGTAAATACAGAACTATGTATGTCCCCTGTAAACACAGAACTATGTAGGTCTCCTGTAAATACAGGAACTATGTAGGTCCCCTGAAAACACAGGAACTATGTAGGTCCCCTGAAAATACAGGAACTATGTAGGTCCCCTGTAAACATGGGAACTATGTAGGTCCCCTGAAAACACAGGAACTATATAGGTCCCCTAAACACAGAACTATGTAGGTCTCCTGTAAACCAAGAACTATGTAGGTCTCCTAAAAACACAGAACTATGTAGGTCCCCTGAAAACACAGAACTATGTAGGTCCCCTGTAAACACAGAACAATGTAGGTCTCCTGTAATCACAGAACTATATAGGTCCCCTGTAAACACAGAACTATAGGAACTATGTGTAGAACTATGTAGGTGTAGGTCCCCTGAAAACACAGGAACTATGTAGGTCCCCTGAAAACACAGAACTACGTAGGTCCCCTAAAAACACAGAACTATGTAGGACCCCTGAAAACACAGAACTATGTAGGTCCCCTGTAAACATAGGAACTATGTAGGTCCCCTGAACACACAGGAACTATGTAGGTCCCCTGAAAACACAGAACTACGTAGGTCCCCTAAAAACACAGAACTATGTAGGTCCCCTGAAAACACAGGAACTATGTAGGTCCCCTGTAAACATAGGAACTATCTAGGTCCCCTGAAAACACAGGAACTATATAGGTCCCCTAAATACAGAACTATATAGGTCCCCTAAACACAGAACTAGGTAGGTTCCCTGAAAACACAAAACTGTGTAGGTCCCCTGTAAACATAAGAGCTATGTAGGTCCCCTGAAAACACAGAACTATGTAGGTCCCCTGTAAAAATAGGAACTATGTAGGTCCCTTGTAAATACAGAACTTTGTAGATCCCCTGTAAACACAGGAACTATGTAGGTTCCCCTGTAAACATAAGGAACTATGTAGGTTCCCCTGTAGACCTAGGGAACTATTTAGGTTCCCCTGTAACCTTAGGAACTATGCAGGTTCCCTGTCAACCTAAGGAACTATGAATATTCCCCTTTAAACCTAAGGAACTATGTAGGTTCCCCTGTTAACATAGGGAACTATTTAGGTTCCCCTGTAAACCTAGGGAACTATTAAGGTTCGCCTGTAAACCTAGGGAACTATTTAGGTTCCCCTGTAAACCTTAGGAATTATGTAGGTTCCCCTGTAAACCTTAGGAATTAAGTAAGTTCCCATTCAAACCTAGGAATAAAAAAAACCACAGTTTTTGCTATGTTTCCGTTTGGTGTTAAGTTGTTGATATACTTTGATTTTTCTCTATTTAAACCGTTTGATGTTAATAGATTGATACTGTTCTCGGTTAAGGGACTTACAGTGCGGTGTAAATATGTATGTTTACAGAGGTAATTCACCGATACCGTCTGGCCATAGTGAATGGTCCAAATGTACCTGTATTGCTCACTGTCAGCATCTTAAAACTTTTTGTATTACAGCGACATTTACTGTAACGGGTCGTTACTGCATGCCGTACAGACTTCTGGTATATTTAAAGATTCCAAGACGTTTGTGGATATGAGTCTGAAGGCATCAGAAGGTACGTATACGTGAAGTGTGTGTAGATAATTGGTGCTTACAATGTCTGCGCAAGTCTTCGGTATCCTGTTAGGTGTGACGATGGGCGTGGCGTGAGACTGGTAGTAAGACTTCTGTGAGTACGTCTTCTTACATTAATGTATGTATGATGAAATATAACTCGTCAATATTTTACCAATATAATTAAGTATTGAACTGTTTTTGTATGGTATTTATGATCTATTTGAATGACACAGCTTTGCAAGCAAACAACATAATGCGCGCTAGCCCATTATGATTTGTTTGCTTGCAAAGCTGTGTCATTCAAATAGATCATAAATACCATACAAAAACAGTTCAATACTTATATTTACGTTTTCTCTGACTCTTATGTTCTTTTTTAACTTATAATTCATATTTAAAATTAAAAATGCCCGCCTTATCGACAGTCCACATAATTTCGTTCAATAGTCTGAACAGCGTATTGTCGCGTGCTGATTGGCAAACAAAGTAGTACTTTGAAATTTTAACAAACACTTCAATTTTATTCCACAATTCAGTATCAATACATTTGCGTATGATATGTCTTTAGGGTGATTTAAGTTTATCAATAGAAGCTAGATTTGAAACTGTTTCGATTTTTCCCCGGAACAAATTTCGCGCATTGACAAATACAGTGAACACCGTAAATCCGACCTTGCCCTCCACGAGGGAGTTATTTTTGGAAGTTAATTCGAACTTTTCTCTTTGCTCATTTTGTGAAGAATCCAGGCGTGAATGTATTTGTTGATTGTATGGGAATCTGACTACAGTCGGTAGATTCTATAACAGCCTCGTTATTTAACATGTTGTCGGAAACTGAGGAAACCATGACTGGAGACGCGTGAAACTGATAGCGTTTGAAGTGAGTGATCTTGTGACGGAGCACAGGGGTTTGTTACAAATGTCTGAAATGTGTGCTGTGACTCATATCAGTAGGTCTGTAACATATGTGTCAGTAGGTCTATAGAATATGTGTATTTCAGACATTTGTAACGAACCCCTGTTGATCAGTGCAGTGTAACAGACGATATTCCTGATAACCGATGTGCATTTTGTACGATATTGCAGACATTGGTCTTATTTTCGTTGAAATAAAAGTGTTATTTTATTTTATTTTTTATTTTGCACATAAATTTACAATGGCATTGTCAAATCTCACAATGCCCAGCGATATTTCAGCAGCCGTCATGTTTATTTATATTGGATATTGTAGTTTCGGTCAGTGTTGTATTAATACGCTAAGAATTGTGTCTCGTGATACATTGTAATTAAAGTCCCCTCAACGACCCAGCTTTCAAAGAGGCTATATAGTGACAATGCCATGCAAATGTAAATATATGGTATTGACCCGAGCGACACTCTCAGATATACTTTTCCTGTCACCAAGGTTTACATCACTGTGTGTTAACGACACCGGATATTGCTATCAGGCAGGTGGTGATCACACGAGGTGGACTGCAGTTGAGGGTGAGTTTTTTTCTATATTTTCCTTACTTCAGAGGCTGTCATGTGCTTGAGGTGTTTTGGATCAATACCTCACATTATCAGTGTTTACTTAAACCATAGAAAACGTTCATATATGGGTCACTATCTCTTCCAGACTTACAAACACGTCGTCTGGTATCGACAAATATTTAGGAGTGATAACTATCACGTGTCTGAATTAACATTTGTAGTACTTTCCTCCACATATTACACTGGCTACAACTAAATAAAGATGTATCTACATTGCACACATGCATTGTGTCAGTGAAAGTATTGTATTAAATGAAATACCGTCAACTTGAATGTTTGTTTTTAGATTATTGTACGGCATCATGCAAATTGCAAGTCACCGTACAATGCTATGAAAGTATGTCAGCATATTTCTCATAATTTACAACGAGTTCGAAAATATGATAGTGAAATGTGTTCGAAAAAAAACTACAAATATTTATTCAGACACGTGTTTAGTATCACTCGTGAGTTTTCGCCGATACCAGGCGGCGGGTTAGCAAGTCTATAAGAAATATTGACCCATATGGGAATGTTCTCTGTGGTTTAAGCCATATCAGGGTATGTGAGGAATTGATAAAAAAAAGCCCCAAGAATATACAAGCCTCTGAAGTAAGGAAAATATCAAAAATAGTCACCTGCAACAGAAGCCCACTTCGTGTGATCACCGCCTGCTTGGTAGCAATATCCGGTGTCATTAACGCACAGTGTACAAGTATACATTGATTATGTATTTTACAACAATTGGAAGTTATGTATATTACGTAACAGATTACTTGGTACATGTATACTTAAGGATTGAATCTTGCTTTGGTCGATTTCAAGGGGTGATGAATTAGGTTGGTCATTAAATTGGTTTCATGCCCAACTCATTTCATCACCCAATGGAATGGACCAAAGCACGATTCAATCCTTATATATCAATCAACATTTGAAAGACAGTTCTGATAGTTTGTCCCAGATTTTGGAGCTTTTGGTGTATTGAAGTAATGTAAAAAAAAAATAAGTCCGTCATTGATGCACCATTAACAAAATCATGGTGTACGCTGATAGTTTAATACTGCCAAATCGTGAAGGGCGAAAAAAGACATAAAAAAACATATCTTAAATGTCATATTAACTTTTGTTCATGAATGCGTTCGTTTAGATATTAGATTTTCTGACGCGTCATCACGGAAGAAAAAAGTCCAGACGCGGTGCGCAGGGTAATTAAGCTGCCCGTCTACGGCAGCCATCTGTTTACCAGGTCGAAGTGGAGAACCGTCTACGGCAGCCATCTGTTTACCAGGACGAAGTGGATAACCGTCTACGGCAGCCATCTGTTTGCCAGGACGAAGTGTAGAACCGTCTACGGCAGCCATCTGTTTCCCAGGACGAAGTGGAGAACCGACTACGGCAGCCATCTGTTTACCAGGACGAAGTGGAGAACTGTCTACGGCAGCCATCTGTTTACCAGGGCGAAGTGGAGGACCGTCTACGGCAGCCATCTGTTTACCAGGGCGAAGTGGAGGACCGTCTACGGCAGCCATCTGTTTACCAGGACGAAGTGTAGAACCGTCTACGGCAGCCATCTGTTTCCCAGGACGAAGTGGAGAACCGACTACGGCAGCCATCTGTTTACCAGGACGAAGGGTAGAACCGTCTACGGCAGCCATCTGTTTACCAGGACGAAGTGTAGAACTGTCTACGGCAGCCATCTGTTTACCAGGTCGAAGTGGGGAACCGTCTACGGCAGCCATCTGTTTACCAGGACGAAGTGGATAACCGTCTACGGCAGCCATCTGTTTGCCAGGACGAAGTGTAGAACCGTCTACGGCAGCCATCTGTTTACCAGGACGAAGTGGAGACCCGTCTACGGCAGCCATCTGTTTACCAGGACGAAGTGGAGAACCGACTACGGCAGCCATCTGTTTACCAGGACGAAATGTAGACCCGTCTACGGCAGCCATCTGTTTACCAGGACGAAATGTAGACCCGTCTACGGCAGCCATCTGTTTACCAGGACGAAATGTAGACCCGTCTACGGCAGCCATCTGTTTACCAGGACGAAGTGGAGACCCGTCTACGGCAGCCATCTGTTTACCAGGTCGAAGTGGAGAACCGCTGAAGTTCGAGGTGCTACATCTTCTGGAATGTGAGGCTGCCGTAATAGAATCTGGAACCAGTCAGGAAACCAGACACAGGACGAAACAATTTGATATTCTACTGTATTTCATATTATGACGTCACCACATGGTTGTGTGATCCATGTTGTTTTCGGTTGACACTGACACAAGACGCAGAATTTGTAGTTGGGGGAGAATTTCTAGGGCAGAATATGACTTGTCACAACCACTAGCAACAGCTGATAGTATTTTGCTGATTGATCGTTTTTGGTTGCTCTAATCATTATTTGTGTAGATGCAATAAAAATGTAAAATCTTATGCCTAATGTGCTTTAAAAATGCCAATAGTTATCTCCCTTCGAAAAATCTTAATATAATTATGTCTTCATGTTATGCAATGTTAAACATACCACCTTCAGCACACATTCAGGAATTCATTACACAAATGGAGACACGTTCTAAATGAGCTCAGCTGTTAATAGGACGTTAAACCCTATAACACCAACTGGCAATTAGTATACATTTATTGACATGATATACAAATAACATGATATACAAATGACATGATATACAAATGACATGA